AATCTTTTTTATTTTAAGATTTATTTATTTATGCATACAGAACTTGAGTATAGGCCAGAGGTGCAGGGATGGTGAGAAGATTCACCAGAGACAGAGTGGGGGACAGAACATGCAGATGGACAAAGTACACTGCTAAGGGGAGCAGCAGGCGAGACAGGAGAGGTCTGCTGCACCATGTGGGTCACCTCTAGCGCTGGGGGCTCAAACTCGCTCTGAAATAGCTGCGGCTAGCTTGCAGTGCTGCTGTGCCACCAGGGAGGGCCACATCAAGGTAATCTTACCTTGTAGGAAATCCAAGAGGTTAAAGAGCTTTCCAGAAGTCGACTCTCAGACAGACGGCACGGAACTGGGAGGGCCATCAGCCAGCACACAGCAAATATTTATGGATTTAAGGCTGGGGTGCACTAGCTGATGATTCAAGAAACACCTTCTTCACTAATATCCTCTGACCAAAGTGAGTCTAAGAGACCAAAGTCCCTAAATGTCTGGCACACTGAGGTTTTATGTGGTTAGTAAGAGAGGGGTCCTTCCGAGCACACCAACAGTCCCAACTCAGCCTGAGCAGTAGCCCTGCCCCGATCACTTCTTCCCTGTTCACCCTCAGAACCCTGCCTGCTTCATACTGTTTATTACACAGTTCACTGCATATCAAATCTAGGCATCATGCCCGACTTGGAGGATGCCACTTCCAGCCTTTGAGGAAGATACAGATAAATTTGTTCAGAAAAATAAGGCAAGCCCACATGGAACAATAGGCAGTAGGCGTAACCAGCGCATTTCTTGGATGCAAAAACAGTTGCTACTTGTGTGCCATAGGCTTCCTGTGCTGGGCACTGGAGGAAGGTGGTGGAAGCAAAATCCCTGTCTTTAAGAAGCTGACTTTGGAATTTGTTCAAGGACTGAACAGTGACTGGAAACAGAGAGACACATGGCGGGGTCGGACCGGTGGGATCCCCAGTCACACAAGTCCAGGCCTAAGTGGGCTGGCTCCCAGAATCAGGGGGTGTCACTGCTGGGACACCTAAATAGGCTCGACCCTGAGCAGCAGGCCACTCTCCAGGCTCACTTAGCGGCATTTGCTTGTAAGGTTAAAACATTCCACATTAGCTGCTGTGCAGTCCACACAAGGAAACAACCCAAAAGAAGGTAGAAAGGTATTAGGAAATGTAAAAGTTTAAGCAATAAGGCATGATATGGCATAAAGAATAGAAGACTGGAAGAAATCCTGACTCTATAGTAATTTACCTCATTTATCATTTATGTTTTTCTTTTTTTATTACATACATTGCTCAAGTTACTACAAATTTGTGGAGAAAGGAATTAATACATAACAAATTAAATAAAAGAAGATAAAGTAAAAGAATAAGAAAATAAAATGGTAACAAATGATAAAAATAAATTAAAAACTTCTCAAACTTAAAAAATAATTTAAAAAATTAAAAAAAAAAGGTAGAAAGGCAAAGGGGGAGGGGACATTTCTTGTGACCTGCAGCCAGACACAACCCATGTTCCTGTGTGCGTTGTATAGAGAGGACCAAATTCTCACTCAGTCTCTGTGTATAGGTCTTTAAACATCTCACACACCCACTAAATAAACATTGTCTCCAAAATGGCGACCGTCCAACAAAATTCGCTTTCATTATTTGGATGATCAGTTACAGGATCATGTATTGAGAATTAAAAGGTTTGCTTGAAAATATCTTTTTTGGTCTGATCACCTTTTGCTACCATCACTCCCTCAAAAATAATCCCAATGTTAATCCTGTGGGCACCATTATTATCTTTGCCACCACCATAACCATTCCCTATGAGGAAACTGAACCCTAACAAACAGCATCTTGGTTTGGGTTCTTCAGAGAACAGCCAGTTTAAAGCCCTTAGCTGTTCACTCCTGAGAACCATCCTGCATTCTGAGATGACATCCTTCTGAAGTGTTTGGTGTCAGATGAATCTTTCCATTGACATGACAGCAATAGCGAGAATGTTGCTGGTCTCAGCACCCCCAACCTCGCTGTGTCCTGGCTACCCCCATCACTGGGTCTTTAGTGTCTCCTTGGCAGCTTTCCCACTTGGGATCTTCTCCTCTTCCTCTCACTCAGCCAGACGCTGGTGCCCTTGCCAAGTAGAGCTCTGGTCTTCTCCCTCCCCGGCTCAGGAGCCTGCCAAGAATCCCTACTTCCTCAATCAGGATTCAGGGCTCCACACAGTTAGTCTAATCCAGGTTATCTCCCATTATTGACTAGCACAGCAGTACCGCCCTGCATTTACACTGGCCTTCCCAAATTACTCGGGTTTCTTCCTTCTTTCCAGTTTCCCAACACCTCTGCCCTTGGAAATCCTATCCTCTGATTCATGTCTTTCCTGACTCATTCAGAAAACTGTCTTGAGCATCTCTGGACTGGCCATAGAGGTGCTAGGCTCCTCGGGATCTCGTCAGTGCAGCAGGGAGAGAATGCAGGTGGAACCATAGGAGCTGTTACAAAGGGGGAAGCCCAGCACCTCACCTGGGGGGCCAGTCAGTCAGGGGTGGGCAGAGATCAGGGAAGACCTCCTAGATGCTACCAGTATAGTCCCCCCTTAGGCTTTTCTGGACTCCCCTTTAACATCTGGGGTTCCCTGCAGCATGTCTCTGGAGTCTAGTGCCTTTCTTTGTCCCGTTAGACTGTCACATGCAATTTTCGAGCCAGGAAATACTGTAAAAATGTTCATTGACAATTAAGTCAACCACTGCTTTAATTAGAGCTGTTAAATATTTGTTGACAATTAAATCCCAGATTAAATCCCAGATTAACCATCCATAGTGGTTACAGGTTGGTTTGGCTGCTCCCTGACTTCAGCGTTGTTATCTGAGTGGGTGGCCTCGCCATTAGTGTAATTAGCAGCCTAGCTCTAGGAAACTGAAGGTCGTACCCCAAAATGTAATTAGAGGTTATCTAGCAGGGTTGGGATGACAAGACTGGTATCCATTTTATACTTGGTGTGCTTCTATAAAGTTTCTCACAACAAACTTGTATCTCCTTTAGAATTAGAAATATTTAAAGTACATTAAGAATTAGAAAATATTTAAAGTACATAAATGTCTAAATGTTTAAAGTACATTAAACAAACCAAAGAAAAAACTTCCTTTTCTCACTCTACTTTTTACTTTCTACAAGAGGGACCTACATTTACAGAAAAAAGAAAAAGTCATTTACACAGAACCCCTGACTACCTAGCCCATGGAGCTGGATGAGTAGGAAGGCCATGTAAGAGGCAAAGGTGAACCCGAAGTGCCTTGAAGCCTAAGGAAAAGAGTCTTCTTCAGGGTTTCCGCAGTCATAAGATAAACAGCTAAGTCACCATTACTTTGTTATGTATCCTGAAGTCAGAGGAAGGTGGGGAGCTCGATGAGACCCAGGCACTGAGCTTTGCCTCCCCACAATTGTGCATAAGGTTTTCCTGATGCGGGGGTTGACAGGGGAGGACTCCTCTTTGTAGAGTCACGTTGACCCTGACTCCCTGAAAGGATGAACATTCCTATCACTGCACCCTCATCTGTCTGAATGACTGGGTGCAGGGCCAGCCCTCCCCCAAAGCACACAGAGGGCTCTTGTACTCCCACAACCACTGAGACCGGAGGCTGAGGAGAAGCAGTGAGTGTTCCCTGATTTCTTACAGTGACATCTCTTGGCTGGCATTCACCCTGGAGGTAACTCCCCAATGTAGCAGCCTTGAGAGTCAAACTGGTGTGGGGGTGAGAGTTATGCAAAGAGGACTCTTGGCAGAAATGGTGGCCTTCAGTTGAGGGCTCTGTGTAGTCCAGAGTGACTTGGAAGGGAGAAAGTCAGAGGAATAATATCTCAGTCTTTCCATCCTGTTTCCAGATAAGTATGTACAGGATGTAAATAGTTAAAATGATCTGTTGTTTATTTGAAATTCAAGTTTAACTGGGTGTCCTGTTTGATAAATCTGGTACAACTCTAAGGAGAGCCCACCCTCCTCCCTGCAAATACACACTTAGGGTCTGGGAAGGTGTGATATCCTGAGCTTGGCAGGAGGGCCTTGAGCAGGGACAGGGTGCCTTTGTACCCCTAGTCACTAATGTTCAAAATACTAGGCCAGTGTCTCTTCTGTCTGCCTGTCTCACCACTCATGGTTAATATGTTTGAATAAATAGCAAGCAGCGTCGAATGTATGCTCTTAAAAGGCCATTGAGAAAGTGAAAAGCCCAGCTATATTTTTGGAAATACTGTGGGCGCAGTGAAATCAAAACCACTCCAAGTCCTTTTCAGCAGGCAAGAATTTCACTGGAAGTTCCAAGTCGTTTTGTACTTGGTGACCTAAGCACATGTTGATTTTATTCCTCCAACACCTTGGGTTGGGACATGTTGAAGCACAAGAATGATAAATATGTCTCTTTCTGATGGTGGCATGTTTTGCAAAATACAGTCAAGCCTTGCTCAATGACAGGGATGCCATCTGAGAAATGTGTTGTTCGGGAATTCTGTCTCTTTGCAAACATCTCCGTGGGGATATTCATGAACCTAGGTGGGGAGAGCCGACTACATGCCCAGCCTAGATGAGGGGTCGTGGGGAGCACCATCGTATATGTGGCCTGTTATTGCCAGAACAAGGAATGCCTGATTGTATTCGCAATGCATAGTCTTCTGACTGAGTTGACAGTGAGAAGTCTGACCTCCCCTACCATGCTGTTGAGTTGAGTGTAAAGTACTTTGAATGAGTCACAATTAAAAAAAATTAATGTTGGGCATTATATTTCTAAAACATCCTTTCGAAGGTGGTATGTGAACAAAAGAGTGAACTTGTGAATGAGAATATATGTCCAGATGTGTGTGTGTGTATGTAAATTTTGCTCACATTATCTGAGGACACTGGGACACTGGGGAGGCCCTGCTTCTCTCTTTTCATGGCCTGATACATTGGAAACCTACTTGGGAAACTATATAATTTAAAAAGGCTTTATAAACATCAGATGTTCTGTGTTGCAGGTATCGCTGAAGTGAAAGACGAAACCAAGCCCAACCCATCATCCCCAGGACTTCTCCCGAGAAGCCGGCAAGCTGACCATACACCATTTCCCCCTCTTCACACCCGTGGGTACCAGCCTGCCTTGCTGAGGTCACCAGCCCAGCCCGGAGGAGCCTATGCAGGAAACGCAGCCCTCCCCAGGCTGACCTCTCCAGGGTCAAAGCTCCTGCAGCCTCTCGCCTTTAATCACACGGTTGGCCACATAATACTTTCTGAACATAAAGATGTCAAGTTTAATTGCTCAATCAACATTCCTAGTATGTACCAGGACCTCGCAACTATTTCTTGGTGGAAAGATGGGATGGAATTACTGGGGGCACATCATGTAGTTACTCAGTTTTATACAGATGTTGAAGTTACCACAGTCATCGCTTCCTTCAGGTACGTGTCCCTTTTTCTGCTCCGCTGTTACTAACTTAGAGCCAAAGCCTTGTACGTAGAGAAGAGCTTTTGTTTTCCGTGTTAGCAGGATTAGTCCATAATAACTAACAGTCTGGGGCCCTTCCTGGTGGCACAGCGGGTTAAAGTGCAGCACTGTGAAGCAAGCTGGGGCTGATTCAGCACTGAGTTCGAGCCCCACCCCAAAGGTGACCCACATGGCGCGGCAGACCTCTCCTAACCAGCCCGCTGCTCCCCTCAGCGGTGGACTTCATCCATCTGTTCTGCTCCCGCTCTGTCTCTGGCGAATCCTCTCACTGCCCCTGTGCCTCTGGCCTGTACCCCATTTCTGTATGCAAAAATATATAAATCTTTAAAAAAAATAACTGACAGTCTGTGTTGGTGTCCCCTTTTCCAACGGATCTTGGCCCCTATAGGGTCCAGCAGATACCTAACACTTAAAGCAAAGATTTTAAAGCAAAATAGTCCTCTGCCCTTTGATATATCTTCCCCAAGTCTCCCCCCACCCCAGTACCCACTGCTACTATAAACGGTGGGATTGCAGACTGGATTGGAAAACAGGGTCTAAAGCCAGGGGAAACACCTTCTCTAGTTTGGTGAAGTATTCCCCTTCACTTTGGTGAGAGCAAGCAGGATGAGTAGGGGAGAGGTGGAGAATTCAAACGAGAACATAGGTCTGGGCTGGTTCCTTGTGCCTGGATGGAGCCATCGCCTTTCAGAGTCGTCCAGACCCGAGGCAGCTGCTTCTGTCCTCAACACTTCTTCTCAGTCTCTCCATACTCTCCTCTTTCTTCTCAGTCAGGAGAGGTTTTATTTGTTTCTTTCTGAGTTGGACAGCCCACAAGTACAGTTTTAGAATTAGGTGGACCTGTCATTACTAAAAGCTCAAAATGAGATCCAAACCATGCAGATTTGCAGTGAGAACCTCTAATCCATGGCCCCTCCGCTCCGGCTGCAGCCCTTGAAGGTCTGCTCCGTTCTCCCTTTCTCTGACCTGAAACTTGGGGCTTTCCCATGTCTGTCAGTGAATCATTTCACATTTCCTTTCCAGAAAACCTCCTCCATGTTTCCACAGGCTTACGGACTCCAGTTAGTGTTTAATGTGTGAATACTTCCATAAGATGTGACCCAATCCCTTTTATAAAACATTTTTCCCCCGAGCCTTAGACTTGCCCCGCGAGAAGGCAAAGAGCACAACTCCCTCATTTCCTATGGGTTGATTTCTTAATATGTGTGTATTTTAAAACTAGCTTAATAGTGACACAGTTGCCCCTTGAACAATACAGGTTTGAATGGCACGGGTCCACTTACGCATGGATTTGAAGACATAAACATATGACACTGATAAAAACAGTACAGTACTGTATGTATTTTCTTTACCTTGTGAATTTCTTAATAGCATGTCCTCTTCTCCATCTTTATTGTAAGACTACAGTAGATGATAATATATATATATATATATAACATACGAAATATATGTTTCAATTGTTTAAGTTATCTATCTATAGATAACTTAGTAGATGACTTTTGGAGGACTGAAAAGGTATACACAGATTTTCAACTGAGCAGGGCTTTGGCACCTCTTGTGAGTTATTCCAGGGTCAACTATATATATGTGTTTTGCTGGATACTTGGAAAATACCAGGCAAAATACTTGGAAAATTCCAGGCGAGTACAAAGAAGGAAACTAGGGCCCCTATTCCCATAACTCTGAAAAAAATTTTCTGAGCATATATAAATTTAACATTATTGAAAAAAAATTAGTAATTTACTATATAGGTGATTACATATATTGTTCCACCTATATTATATTATGAATGTTTTCTTATGTTATTAAAAATCCATAAAATATTTTAATGGTTGCTATATGCTACTATAATCTGCTATTGTAAAAGAGAAGCTAATATAGGAAAATGCAAATGAAATTATAGGGGAAAACATTAAAAATTATTTTCAAAATTCCAAGGCTTGGGGCATGTACAGGGGAAGAAAACTAATATTACACTTCCAATCCAGATGCCCTTTTGAGCTGGGTCCTTTCTGGGCTAATAATTCACATTTTTTTCCTATCTAACTTGGGTGGCTGTTAATCATTGATGGAGCCAGTCACCTTCCATGAAGAAGTGTGGGAAGCACTCAGTGCCTGCTAGTGGGCTGGGTGCTCATATTGCTAGTTTGGTGATAACTACTGAACATCCATATCACCATTTACTCTCCCCCCAAGTCCCGCCTTGTCCTCTGTGCTCTCACCCTAGTTCTGGGTGGTATGGCTCAGGCTGCATGCCCTGATAGCTGCCACACATCCTGGGCCAGACTTAAGTCACTGAACTGGGACATCCTTGTCACTCCAATCAGTCACCTGCCTCATCTACACCTGCTATCAGTTTCTGGAGCTGTAGCACATCCATTTGCCTGAGCCCTTTATCAAGATCTTTTCCTAAAGTCCCTAGAGGAGGTATAATTGTGTGATGGCCTTACCTCTAAAGACTGGTATAGAGTATAGAAAGCTCTCAGCCTAGCTGGAAATGCTCCTTATCAAGGAAGACGTTGCAGGAAGGTGCTTCAAGGAAAACATTGCAGGATGGTGCTAGGGATCAGACCAGAACATGAGGGAGGCTAACTCCCCCCCTAAATAAAAAACTGACTCTCACATAGCCAGAAGGCCCTGAAGAGTGCTATTGGGTGGTTTGTGGTGAAAGGAAAGTGCTCGTTGTTTGCCTCTGTTTAATCTAGGGATTCCCAGGGCCCTTTACATGCTGGCATAGGCTCCAGCAGCTGGCAGGGCTTTACTTTTTTAGCAGATCTTCTTTATACATTTGTTAAGTTGGTTAGTTTTGGTCCCCAAATTGCTCTGCCATTTGAGGCACACCCTGCCCTCCGTCCATGTGAGATGCTCGTGCTCACAGGGCCTGTACTGCTCTGTGCTGAGCCCCTGGCCCGCAGCCTGCCCTGTGTGCCTCTGTCTTGTGCCTCTGGTCTGTTTATTATCCTGCAACTTTTGGTGATCCAGAGTAGACCCATGCCTGAAAAATCAGCCAAATATCTAGAAAATAAGGACAGCATTCCTTTAGCCAAGGCATCAGCTGGAAAAAAATATAATCCCCAGCAGATCCTTGGCACTCTGACTTACTTCACACATCGAAGACTTCCTTTCAGCTCAGACCTTATAGAGACCCTGCACTCCAGCTACCTGTTGTCCTTGGGATCCCATCACTCTAATTACTGTGACAGCTGGAAGTAGGATGCTTACCAGTGAGTTTCTGTATTTCTTTCAAGAACTTTTTTATCATCCCTTTTTATGTGTGGTACAAAATACATAACTTCAGGTTTACCATTTTAGCCCTTCTTGAGTCTACAGGTAAGTGCCATTCACTACATTCATATTGCTGTGTAGCCATCACCACCACTCTTCTGCAGAGCGTACTTATCACTCCAAACTGAACCTGTACCCATTAAACATTAACTTCCATTCCCCTTTACATGCTACCCTCAGGAATCTGCATTCTCCTTTCTGCGATCATTTGTAAATGGAGGTATCCATTTTTTTTTTTAAAAAAAGATTTATTTATGCATACAGAACTGGGGTAAAAGCCAGAGGTGCAGGGTGGGGTGAGAGGATTCACTAGAGACAGATGGGGAACAGAACAGACTGATTGACGAAGTACACTGCTGAGGGGAGCAGCAGGCGGGTCAGGAGAGGTCTGCTGTGCCATGTGGGTCACCTCCGGGACCGGGGATCAAACTCACACTGAAGCAGCTACAGCTAGCTTGCAGTGCTGCACTCTAACCCATTGCACCACCAGGGAAGGCCCCCAATACTGTTCTTTTTAAAAAAATTTTTTAAAGAAGACTAGTGCTTAGCTGGTACTCACATACCATTCTGAATACACCAACCCAGTAGACTTGGGCATGAGGGCTGTGTCTCCTTGTGGGTGGCCTGGGGCAAAGCCAGCCCAAGCAGCACTGGGGGATGGACTGTGCCACTTTTGGCCCATGACCTCTGTCCCGATGGCTCCTATCTAGACACTGTGACTAAGTTGGTATGGTTTCTTTGATCTTCCTTGGTTCAGATCTTTGTATTGGACCAAAGTGAAACATTCATTCCTTTTTTTTTTTTTAAAGCAGGGTACACAAGGTAAAATATGCCAAATGTGGGCCCTCTCTGGTGGCGCAGCGGGTTAAAGCACAGCACTAAGAAGCTATAAGTCACTTCAGCATGAGTTCGATCCCCAGATGTGACCCACATGGCGCGGCAGACCTCTCCTGACCTGCCCGCTGCTCCCCTCAGCAGTGTACTTCATCGATCTGCCTGTTCTACTCCCCACTCTGTCTCTGGTGATGCCTCTCACCGCCCCTGCACCTCTGGCTTGTACCTCAGCTCTGTATGCATAAATAAATAAATTTTTTTTTAAAATGCCAAATGCTCAAAAAGTTTCTCCCTTTCCAATACCCAGCTCTTTTTCAATAGGGAGCTGGGGTTACACATTTCTTAGGTACCTTTCTAGAGATATTTAATTCCATATGAGTTGTGTGTATGTCTCCATGTTGTGTTACAGATGTGGTTAAATCAGTGCCTGGGGTTCACATTATCATGACTATTTAAATGCTATTTCCAGCTGAATAATAAAGCATACCGTAATTACATTTTACTTCTTTAGACCTTTTTGATTTTCCTGAATTTAGCAGTTTTCTTGCTCAGCTTAATCTTTAAAGTTTCAGTCACTCAGTCTTCCCTAAACTCTCCTGACTGCCAGCACGTCCCTTGCTGATTGATTTCAGGTGCTCCTGGCCTTTTTGTGTGGCCTGCCTACAGCCCAAGGTGTGCTGCTAACCAGCATTTGTGCCTGACCACTTCTCAGGTTCCCTGGCCTCTGCACCAGTGAGCTTTGTATCTTCGCTCCCCTTCTGTGCCTGTGCCCACATCCCTCTTTGGTCTCTGGCCTTCGCTTTCTTTCTGCCTCCTGCATCCCCAAGTGTACAGCAAGCATGCCAGAGTCCAGGCCTCCAGACAGAGCTGGGTCTTCAAAGGCTCTGGTCTGAGCTTGTCAGATCTCATCCACTCTGCTGAATCCCTGGGCCTTGCTACATGATAACGATGCCCCTTCTACAGTGAAGTTAGGGAATAGAGAGAGAGAACTCCTCTCAAGTGGCATTGGTTTCCCATGGAAAAGCAAAGACTAGACAGGTCAGTTGTGTGTATTCTTTCAGGAGCTCCTGAAAACCACCAGGTAGCTGCTAGATGGGCTGGGCGCCAGCCTGCACATGTATTTCTGCCCCTGTTCTTTGGCCCCTTCATGTTCCCATGACAACAGGGACTTAGAGAAAAGTTAGGTGGTTCTTTATTGGGAGACTTTTTTAACAGAAGTACCACTGGTTTACATAGTTGCAAGGGTTCTGGAAGCTTAGGCTCTCCGTCTTCAGGGGGTCCCCATAGCACACTCCCCACCAGAGCACCCAGAGTCCTCCACCATTATTACCCATTGTGCTCTCTCCCACCCTGGCTTTTTCCTTTACTCTCCTCTCCCTCTCTGGATTGCTCACTTCTATGATCAGTTCAAAGGTTGGTTTAGAAGTCTGATTTTTTTCTGGCCCTTGGGTCAGACCTATAAGTGAAACCATCGATATTTATCTTTCTTCTCTGCTTTACTTCATGTAGTATAAGCCCTTCCCTTACCTAGGTTGCCACAAATAACACAAGTTTATCTTTTCTGAGTAGTATTCCATTGTGTATATAGGCCACAACTTGATTTACTTATCTCTTTTCAGGCACTTAGGATGTTTTCATAGCTTGACCATTCAAATAGTGCTGCAATAGAAAGAAAAAGAAAAATACCAGATGGTTTCACTCATAGCAGGAGCTTAAGGGTCAGGGGGAAAAAAAATTGTAATGAAGTAAAAACGAAAACTGTGAATAGCTATAAACAGAAGCATTTTACAGGGGTAGAGGGGGGAATGGGATCAAAACTGGGGTGGAGAGTGCATGGGAGGAACTATTGTAACAGCACACAGGTGAACTGGTGGTGGGACATCACAGGGATTAAAAGGTGAAAAAATGTACAAAATGTGGAAGAATGTAAAAAATAAATAATTTTTTTATTGCAGTGCTGCAATAAACATAGAAATGTAAGTTTCCTTTTAAATTAGTGCTTTTGTATTCTTTGAGTAGATACCTAGAAGCAGAATTTTTGGGTTTTATGGCAGACCCACATTTAATCTTTTGAAAAATTACTTGGAGACATTTATACTGTGAGGTCTGTTTCCATCTTCTCCTGGTGACCTTGAGCATTGGTGACCTTCAACTCTTTTTTTTTTCTTTTCATTGTAAATATATATTTATATATACATACATACATACATACATACATACATACATATATATATATATATATTTACATCATTTTGTGCATTTTTCCATCCCAGTTGTAATCCCCTTAGGCTTCCATCACCAAAACACCGGTGTGCCATCACCAAAGTCCAGTGCATTTCCCTCCCCACAGTTTTTGATCCCAGGTGACCTTCGCCTCGTATCCTAAACATTTACCTGACCTTTCCTTGGCCCCTGGGCTCTTTCTCAGCACACATTCATTTGCCCTCTGGGGACAGTCCAGAATTATACCATTCCTACACAGGAATGTGAGGATAGGGGAGTGTTCTGAGTGAGTGGAGTATCACTCAGAAAGGCACATTGCTGGGGCCAAGGAACAATAAGAGAGAAGGACCCCTGAAGCATTGCCCCACAGTTGTGGTGGGTACAGTTCCTGATACATACTTTAGTACTCTGTTTGTCACAGGCTAATAGGGATTAGTATTGTTGGGGAGACGTTGTATTTACAATGTTCAGTGTTTGTTCTGAAGCTCTGCATTCGACCTAGGAGAAATGTGACTCTTTGAGGCCTGGGGGCCCTTGCTGCCTTGTGTCTGCTGTGTTAGCCCCGGAGCCAGGCCAGGCCCCTTCTGACCTTGCCAGCTTCCTGGCAAGGAAGCCACAAGCCTCAGCCCTTGCCAGGTTGAGGGAGGGGCTTATTGTGCTTTGGGATATAAGTTGTGTCTGGGAGCAAAGTGCCAGAAAGGGAAGGAGAACTGCCATTTTGTACACTTCTTCATTTCCCTCTAGCTGTGGTTTGCTTTGCTACATCTGATAAGCATAGGAAACCCAGTGCCTTTGGGTCAATGAAGGTATCCTCTGTTGGAGAGCATTTCCAAGTGCCCCTCTTCGATAAGAGACCTTTCCCACAAGGCCTTGGCTGGGTACAGGTTTCGCATGAACTTCCTGTTTGATCACTCAAGACAACTCCACAGATTTACAAAAAGCCTTCAGGGGACAGTAATTCGGCCCCTGGGATAGAATCTACTTTGGAAATCAAGAAAAGTGGTAGCATCAGCATATGCATCTTCACAAAAAAACAGAACTATTAAGAGATTAGATCTATTGATATGTCTGTATTGAGAGACTTTATTTTGAGGAATTGGTGACTGTGATAGTGAGAGCTGACAAAGCTGAAATCTGAAGGTTGCCAGCTAGAGAGCCAAGGAAGAGTTTATGTTGCAGCCTTGAGTCCCAAAGCGGTTGGAGGCAGAATTTCCTCTTCCCAGGAGCACCTCAGTCATTGCTTAGAAGGCCTGCAACTGACTGGATGAGGCCCACCCATGTTATAGAGGATTAGTGGCTTTGCTCAGCATCTGCTGGTTAGTTACGTCTGAAAAATACCTTCATAGAACATCTAGTATGTTCAACCAAATACCTGGATACCAAGCCCTTGCCATGTTGACATATAAGACTAACAATTACAGCCTGACAAAGCTGAAGAAAGTTCTGTTCTTGCATGAAAATATTGTAGGTAATTAATCACTGTAAATATCTTTTTGTGTTTTCTCTGAAGCATAACCAACGTGCAGCGTTCAGACAATGGGTCATATATCTGCAAGATGAAAATAAATGATGAAGAGATTGTGTCCGATCCCATCTACATCGAGGTGCAAGGTAAGTCGAGGGGCCCCACTGGGCTGTTTGTTTAGTGTATGACACTCTCGAGTTAGGCTTTCCCATGTTAAACTGTATGCAAACCCTGTATACAAATCCATAAACACTGAAAATTCACAAGGCAATTTTCTTTTTAGACTTTAGGTAGTAGTGAAATAATTTCCATTCTCAGAGTATTAACTCTATCCTAAGCATGAGGCTTAGGATACTTCAGGTTACTTATAATAAAAATAAACAAATCAGAGACATTCTGCAGGGGAGGAGGAGGGAGAACACAATGGGTGGGAAGAACACAAGGGACTATGGCGATGGGGCATGGGTGAACTGGTGGTAGAAATTCTATGGGGACTATACCTGAGAAGAGAAAGCACACACTGTACAAAAAAATGAAGAATGGTGTGAAATATACATTTTTTTTTAAGCTGTACTTTGTTTCTAGGAAGCAGTTCTCAGAGCTGGCACTGGGTAGCACTCATTTGGTCACATGGCAATTTGCTTATTACTTATTACTCAGCATCCTTTCCTGTCTTTCATATGTGGACAGTGAAACCAGGGAGATGGGGTATTTTTCCTTTGCAAACTCTGCAAATCCATAAACACAGAAAATTCACAAGGCAGTTTTCTTTTTAGACTTTAGGTAGTAAAGCTCAGCAGCTCAGTGTAGGATTTTCAGCCCTAGGATTGACCAGGCGTGTGTTTCAGTGCTGGTCCATGGGGTGACAAGAGCTAGGCTCAGTGGGGAGTGAGAAGTGGGACCCCTGGTGAGGAGAAGGCAGTTCTGTTCTGGAAGAACTTGAACTTGAGTGGGAAATATGTGCTGATATACGGGGGAGCCAGACTAGATGAACCCTGGTCTGGGAAGTGACTCCCTGGGCCTGGGTTTGCAAAGGCAGGGCCTGCCTAGAAAGGCTTCCTAAAGGGGAGACCTTTATTCCCACCCCAAAGTGGTCACTCCCCTCAAGCCCGAGCACCTGCATCCTTGTCATTTCTCTTCTAATTTCTCCTCACAGACTTGAAAGTAAGTGGTACACTTTTCAGTGACGTTCAGCTAAAAGAATCCTCACCTATTAAAAGAATCCTCAGCTAGAAACAGAACTTGATACCCATAAATGCTGATACCTATTAACACTCCTGGAGTAAAACAAGCCTGAGGGAGGGAGGCCCCTCAGAGGAGCCTCTGTCAGAGCCTGCTAGGCCCATCCCAGCTTGCACAGCTAGTTCCTCTGGGTTTGCCAGCATGGCCAGAGGATAGGGGAGGGCTCCTACATTCACAATGCTAATCTGTAAGAAGTATTTAGAAGACAGTTCACTTGTCAGAATTCCAGAAAAATGCAACAATACTGTAGGTTCAAATAGAGTTATTCAAAACTTTGAAACAGGAAAAAGAATCCTATTTTACCCCTCCCACGTCATTCCTGCTGGAACCAGAAGTGTGAGTTTCCAACCCCAAAAGAATACAGTTTAAGTAACAGGACAATTAGGTTGGCCTGTTAAAATTTAGGTACATGCTCCAAATAAGTACTGACTTTCTCTGAGATATTTGGAAATTTCCATCTGTGTGGCTCTGATTTTAGTGTTATAACTGTGAAACTACGTTACTGTGCTTGTACTGTTGATCAGAATGTGCTTTGAAAAGTGTTCAAGCCCAACATAGCTATCAAGACCTTAAAATTCATTATCATCCACCTCAAATCTGACACATAATAGGCTGTCCTCAAAAAATGGGCAGACCTATTCTGCAACATTGTTTTTGCTGTTTATTTTGGTGAGAAATATTGAAAATCTGTCAACACATCCCGAGGGTTTGAGAAATACCTGATTTCAGAACTGCCAGGCCTCCCGTCTGGTAAAACCAGTTCTGGTAAAACCACCCCTTTGGGAGAGTGTCCTAAAAAGCCAGCTGGGGCTAGATAGCTCAGAGTGAGCTTCTGACTTCTCTCTTACTCTGCTTTCAGGAGGTGATATCGAAGCAATTTCCTAATGCCAAGTTCAAGTTCACTTTCCATTCCACAGTAGGGCTTTGCTTTTGCTTGTGGGTAAAAAACATTCTTTCACTTAACTCTTTCTCTGCAGGACTTCCTCATTTTATCAGGCAGCCTGAGAGCATGAATGTCACCAGAAACACAGCCTTTAACCTCACCTGTCAGGCTGTGGGCCCTCCTGAACCCATCAATATTTTCTGGGTGCAAAACAGCAGTCGTATCAACGACCAGCCTGAAAAATCTCCCTCCATTCTAACTGTTCCTGGTAAGTCTCATTTGTGTGCTGATTTATTGTTTTCACTCTAATATCAGGCGATTCAAAGTTGGTACCAGCATCAGGGAGTGGAGAAGGATAAAAACATAGGTGTAGTGGTGAGGATTAGAGCCAAGTACAGGGGAATCCAGGTCGGACTCTCAGGTGAGAGGTCACAGGCTGGCCTGTGGAAGTCAAAGAGTACCCCTGAGGGTCTAGGGTCAAGTTGGTCAAGTAGCCAGAATCCTGGAGCCCTGAGTTCACTCACACATCCCACTGCAGCTGTGACCTGCTGGGCTGACGCCTCTCGAGCTTCGGGCACCATTGAGGTGAAGCCCTCAATGAGGTTTAACAGCAAGGAAACTGCATTGTCATAGTACTGTTGTGGGGAGAGTGAGTCATTGTGGGATCGTAGCTGCATGGGCAGCCAGTGGTCATCTTGATGCCAGTCCAGTGGGAGCACCTGGCTTTTCTCCAACCCTCCCCTGGCTGTGTACTTAGAGACAACACTATGATGTTTCCTGGGCTGCTGAAGCCAATTGGCTTCTCTTCGGCTCCTCTCCTTGTGATTTTTAGCAATAAACATCTGGCAAGGTTACCTACCCCACGAATCCTTCCTTTTTTTTCTTGTATCCAACAAATGGGTTATAAGGGACTACTGTTTGTCAGCAACTGTTTGAAGCTTTGAGAATACAGGGGACACTGTCTTCCCTGCTTTCTTCCTACCTAAGTTCTCTGCCCTTACAGGAATTTTGAATGTGGGGGTACTGTAGGGCTCAGCCTTGAACCTACTTATTTTTACTCTGAGACCCACTCCCCACCCTTCCCCCTGCTGAGAGCTCCTTGGGCTTCAAAGGTTGTCTATATAAAGATGACCTCAAACTTTGTGTCTCCAGCCCAGATGGCTCTCCTGAGTTTAAGGCTCACGTGTACAATCACCTTATAGGCATTTCTATTTGCCGGGTACTTAGGCATCTTAAAATGAAACTCTTGCTTTTATTTTTGAAAAATATATAATGATACAGTTTTATTATACTTACAGCAAGATTTTTACCATTTCATAATGCAATAACTAGAACCATATGTTTCTATTTTAATTACATTTATTAATTTTTATATCTGTTTACATTGTTGTTAATTATAACACAGTATTTACTTCTCCCCTCCCCAAATTCGCCTGAGCGTCATCACCACAAGCCCACACATTTCTCCATTTCTCCTTCCATCCCTTTCCCTCCTCCTCTCCTGTAGGAGATGTCTGGTGTATAATTGTCTGTTTTTATTTCGTTTTGTATTGTAATAGCAATACAGTTTTCCCCCTATGTCTTATTTGCTTCTCTTACATTCCTCTTATAAGTGAAACCATTCAATATTTTCCTTTTTCCTTCTGACTTATTTCACTGAGCATTATCACTTCCAGCTCCATCCATGTTAGAAACTCTCCCAGGTTTGCTCCACCCTAGAATTCCCCATCTTAGTCAATATGGACCCTTCCTTGTTCTCATTTTTCGCATTGATTGCTTCAGCAAGTTCTATCAGTTCTGCTTCTGCGGTCTAGCTGAAATCCGTCTTTTCTGCAGCTATGCTGCAATGCCCTGGTGCCTGACACTGGCGGTTCCTGCCAGTCTCGCTGCAGCTACTTCCAGCCTTGTCCTTGCTGCTCCATCCTCCTCTTATCACCTACCTGCTGGAAACCCATCAATTGCTCCTGTTGCCTTAGACGAACATCAGAGTCCTCTGCCCCTGTTTATGGGCCCTGCTTGCCCTGGATCCTGCCCACCTCTCCAGCCTAACCCATTCTACTCTCTCCTCCCTGCGTAGTGAGCACCAGTCACCCTGTCTTCCCCCTGATTCCTCAGACACAGCCCTTCTTTTTACCTCCAGACCTTTGCACGCCTCCTTATGGTGTCTGTCTGGAAATGTTTCCATCTGCTCTTTGTCCCTCGACATACTATCACTTCTTCCCAGAGATCCTCCCGGTCGTTCTTGACTGTTCTTCCCACTCTTTGATTGACTTTAAGCCACGTGTTCACATAGACTGCCTGTGTCACACACATCATGGCCAGTAATTACCCTGGTTTTGTTTAGTCTTGTCTGACTTAGAGAATATATACTCAATACAGACAAGGACTTTGTCTCTCCCAAGGCAGCGCCTGACTCACAATCCTCACTAAAGATTTATGGCAAGAATGAATCAGCAAGTGAATGCCACAGGGTATTCTCTCTACCTCACTTTTCTATCCCCTACCCCAGGAGGAATACTTAGGAATATTTTGGTTTTCTCTGGCTTCATCTGAGCTTTCTTTGAGTTTCTCCAAGGAGTCGATCGCTAATCAGTGGCTTGTCTCTCAAAGTCAATTTAAAAAATGTACTGTCCACTCCCTAGAGTTGAGTTGTTCTAAAGTCTCATAAAGATTTTTTTCACTGCAGCAAAATTGACATATAATTAAGTGCAGAGAAATTAAAAGACACAATTCAACGAGTTTTGATTTATGTGGACACCAAACCATGTAACCCTGTCTTAATCAAGATACAGAATATTGTTGGCTTCTCGGAAAGTTCCCTCATGCTCTCTTCTTCCCAGTCACCACCTCTCAGTCACCCTGTTCTGACATCATCACCCTAGGTTAGTTTTGTCATTTTTTGAACTTAAAGTAAGTGGAAGCATAAAGTGTATGTTTTTGTGTGTGTGCGTCATTCTTCTTTCAATCAATATGTTTTTAAGATTTGCCTATGTTTTGCACATCAATAGTACATGATTTTTTTGTTGCTGATAGTACTCTATTGTATGAATGTGCTACATTTTGTTGATCCATTTGTTTGGTGAACATCTGGGGTATTCATGGCTGTTGGCTATTATCAGTAAAGCATCTATGAGAATTTTGTGTGCAGGTCTTTTAGAGGATGTATATTTTTATTCCATCTTGGATAAAAAACTGGGAAAGGAACTGCTGAGTTATGTGCTAGATGTATGTTTAACTTTTTTTTTTTTTTAAGATTTATTTATTTGTGGGGAGGGAAATGCACGGGATTATGGTGATGGCACACGGGTGACTTGGTGATGGGAAACCCACGGGGATTACAATTGAGATGGAAAAAAAATATACAAAATGATGTAAAAATAAACTTTTGTAAAATAAAAAAAAAACTTTAAACAGTAAAAAAAAAATTATTTATTTGTGCATACAGAACTGGGGTACAGGCCAGAGGCTCAGGGGCGGCGAGAGGCTTCACCAGAGACAGAGTGGGGAGCAGAACAGGCAGATCGATGAAGTACACAGCTGAGGGGAGCAGTGGGTTGGTCAGGAGAGGTTTGCCACACCATGTGGATCTCTTCCGGGGCAGGCAGGGATCAAACTCATGTGGAAGTGGCTTAAGCTTCTTAGTGCAGTGCTTTAACCCGCTGCACCACCAGGGAGGGCCATATGTTTAACTTTTAAAGAAACCACCAAACTGTTCCAAAGTGGCTATACCTGCCACATCATGTTCTGAGCAACAGTGGGTGAGAGTTCTAGTTGTTCCATCACATTCTTCCCAACGTTTATATGGTCAAGCTTTTGAATTTCAGACATTTTAATGGATATGAAATGGTTTTAATTGGCATTTTATTTCCCTGATATCTGCTTTTAGATTAAATGTAGAAAGGATTTTTACCATCTTTATCCTGTTTGTGTTTTTACCTCTCATTATCCTGTTTTGGTGAAGCATCACTTCGATCGTTTGCCTATTTCCATATTAATCCTAGAATCAACTTGAAAATTTTTCCAGAAAATCTGCTATGATTTTGCTGCAGTTGTTTGATTTATAGAACAATTTAGTGAGCAAAACCATCTTACTGGTATTGGGACCAATCAATAGGTGCATTCCCTCCATTTATTTTAATCTCTTAGCAATTTTCCATAGTTTTCAAAATAGGGTCTGATATGCCCCTTGTTAAATTTATTTTTAAGAGTTTATGTTTCTAAAGCTGGTAAATAGCATATTGACTTTATTTCCCAATTGTTTACTATTACTATATAGAAAATAAATGGATTTCTGTATGTTAAACTCATTTATTAGTTCTAAGAGTGTTTGGTGCTGCTACAGATTCCTTGAATTTTCTGTGTAGACAGTAATGTCATCTGCAGTATTGTCACTTACAAATTTACTTTTACCTATCCAATCCTTATCTTTTCATCTCTGTTCCTTTCCTTCTTTCACGGGCCAGAACTATAGTACTGTAAAAGTGGCACACATGGCTATTTCTGTTCCGATCACCACATATGTTATTAACCATAGGTTTTTTTGTAGATGCCCATTATCAGATTGAAGAAGTTTCTTGTACTCCCACTTGGCTGAAAATTTGAAACTGCATTTTCTGAGATGATCATATGGCTTTTCTCCATTATTCTCTTACTATGGCAAAGTACATTATCTTGATTTTCAAATACTAAAGCAGGTTTGTATCCCTGAGATAAACTATTTCATCATGATTCATTTTACTGATATATAGTTAATGATTTTTGCATGCATGCCTATTCTGTTTCACCATATGCCAAGTATACGACAATGAAGTCTGTACTAAATACCCACAGTCAGTGCAGACTTCATAGCTTAAGGACAAAGTCTGCCACAAAACTACTTCTGCCAGTCAAGGGCAGCAGTCAGTGTCACATGCACTTCTTATGGACAGGCTGTAAATTTGAAGGGTCCCCTCTCTATTTCTATAATTTGGGAGAATAATTCACAGAACTCAAGAAAGGGCTCTAATTAGGAATACATAGTATTACAAAGAATACGCATGTTTCCATGCCCTCTTCTCACAGAATTGGGGTACATTACATCATCCTGGTGCTCATGGGACAGGAAACTACTGAGATTCGGGGTCCACGGTTTTTATTGGGATTTCATTGACTAAATTATTGGCCATGCAACTGATTACAATCCTCAGACTTCTGTACCTTCCCTAGAGGTCAGGAAGTCAGGATACTATCCCATGGCTCAAAACCCCACCCACCAATGACATGGTTGGT